TCTCTCTCTCTCTCTCTCTCTCTCTCTCTCTCTCTCTCTCTCTCTCTCTCGTGCGCACACGCGGGCGCGCGTACTACCGAGCTACGGCGCTGTGTGTCGTCGACTACTAACTATTTCAGCCTCACTCGCTGCTTGACCACACAAGACCACAACGGCGCTGCGGCAGAATGCAAATTGTGTTCACACTCTGCTGCGACCAGACTTTTGTACTTGCTGCAGTCCCAATCTTCAACTTTTCCAGATCTGATCCCTTCTTGTCAGCCTTCCGAAGCATCCGGAGTTCTCATGGATTATGCCACCCATGCTTCTGTCAATTAACATCCCCATCCCCCTGAAAGGGAGTAAGAAGATTTGGCTCCTGTTGCTCAGAAAAATTACCCTATGATGGAAGAGGAGGTGTGCTCAAGGTCCGCGGAATCCTACCAAGAAGAGAGGTGACATGGGCCCAACATAGCCTCTGCCAGCGACTGCAAGTATGTCAGTGGCAGCGGGATGAATTTGGACTGAATTCGTTTTGCTCAACGAAATTGGGCTTGGTCGAAAAGGCCAAAAGAATGCCCAAAATTTTCTTCTGAGGGTCCGGCGTTCTCTGCACTGCCTTCAGTCCGAATTCTGGGCTTTTGGGGGGAGCTTTATATCAGACCCCAAATTCGTTCAACAAAAAAAAATCTCTGTTTTGACGAAATGCCAAAGCAAGGGTTGGAATAGGGAGTGACACTTGAATGCACAAGTACAGAACACGCAGTAGAATGGGGCCACTTGCAGATAAAGGGTAACAGGGATGGTAGAGGCTATGAAGGTGATAGAGGTACGGAATCAGTAGGTTGACAGGCGGCTTGAGGAACTGCCACAGACACCCCCCTCGTGCCTGGCCTCTCCGAGTTTTGACCTGTAGCATGACTGGGTGCTGGAAGTAAGCTTTCCGACCTGCAGGCCAATCCCCTATGAAAGGCCAAGGCTTGGGGGGTCGGACATTCTGTAGTAGTCGCACCCTTGATAAGCGTTTAGTACCACAAGGGTCGGGTCATTGCTTTTCTTTTATCTGCTTTCCCTGCAATAACCCATGCCATATGTCTCGTAAAAACTGAGGGTCTCGTACCTGGCCGCCCTCAGCCCGAGCCGAACAAGGGCAAAAAGGCCCTATATGAATTCAGGGCCTGGGCGTGTTACAGTTGACTTGAGTCAACTGTCGGTCCACCCAACAGTCAAAGTCCAAAGGTACCTAGCCCAGGCCGCTGGTCAAGCACACACATTTGTTTGTATGCAGGTACCCAGACAGCATCAGGTCCAAGGGAGAAGTCTGCAACTGTATCATCCGGGCCTTCAGATGTGAGTCAATCTGGA